TGGTAATCTACTTCTGAGAATCAGCCAATGAAAAGCCCTATGGATTCCAATGGTCTAATCCCCAATGTTGCCACGACCCAGGGCCATCTCCACAGCAGCTAACAATAGTATCTTATGTTCATACTTTTTATTTAATAGCAGAAAAAAAAAAGAGTCGTACATGATTTGGGTGCCCCACCAGGTTTTAGAACCCTTTCCATAAACCATGAGACCAGTCCTGTCTTGTGTCATTCTAGCACAGACTTTGTGATTCTCACAAGTAACCTGTAAATTATAGAGCTGGGTTCCCGTAACAGTCCTCCGAAACCACGTTGGGCGGGACTTGTGGAGTTAGTAGAGGCTGCGTCCTTTATGTCTCAAAAACTTTTTGTGAGTTGGGTGAAGGTTCACAGAGCAAATCAGTTTTCCATTTGGCAATTCATACATATTTTGTTTCACGTCATTGATTGCAATCCCTGCAAAGTCACATCACTCATCCCACTCCCTCCGTGTACATCCCGTTCCATTCTCCTTCTTTCCTAACCCTTCAGTACTTTGTCCTTGGGCCAGTGCTGCCTTGTTTGCATTCAAATGGTTGCTATTTGAGGCATACCCAATTCCCTAGTGTTATTGTTCACCATATGTTGGTGTTAGGTACCATCAAGACGGTTTTGACTTAGAGAGACCCTATGTACAGCCCATGCGTCATCCTCACAATTGTTCTAACGTTTAAGCCCACCAGTGCAGCCTCTGTGTCAGTTCATCTGGTGGAAGGCCTTCCTCTTTTTCACTGCCCTCCCACGTTACCAAGTGTGATGTCCTCCTCCAGAAACTGGTCCCAAAGTATGTGAGATGAAGTCTTGCCATCCTTGTCTCTGAGGAGCCTTCTGGATGTACTTCTTCCAAGACAGGTGTGTTTGTTCTTTTGGCAGTCCATGATACTTTTAATATTCTTCACCAGCGCCAGAGTTCAGATGCATCAACTTCAGTCTTCCTTATTCAGTGTCCAACTTTCACATGCATATGAGACAATTGAAATTATATGGCTTAGGTCATGTGCACCTCAGTCCTCAAAGTTACATCCTTGCTTTTCAACACTTTCAAGAGGTCTTGTGCCGCAGATTTATCCAATGCAATGTATTGTTTGATCTTTTGAGTGCTGCTTCCATGAGCATTGATTGTGGATCCAAGCAAGAAAAAATCCTTGACAATTTCAGTCTTTTTGGTCTAGTTTTGAGGATTTTGGTTTTCTTTACAATGAGTTGTAATCCATACCAAAGGCTGCCATCCTTAATCTCCGTCAGCAAATGCATCAACGTCACCAGATAAGACCTATCTATTGTTTGGTTGAAAATGGACTCAGGGGGTAAGTTCAGTTCCAGAGCTGAAGGATGACATAAGGGCTATAGTCTTGGGTTCTGCCAGTCTGTTTCACTTGGTCTTGTTATTTTGAGTTCTGTCCCACATTTTTCTCATTTCTCCCAGGACCTTCTAATATAAACCCTTCCAGAGTTGCTGGTAGTCTTGGCTGGGTACTATCTAGATCTTCTGGTCTCAGGGTCATGTAGACTGATGTTCAAGTGGGCCATTAGGGGATTGGGATAAATGCTTGTATGTGTCTTTGGTTTTCTTCACTAATCGTTGCACCATAGATAGCCACTCATGGGTTTTTAAGACCCCAGTTGCTGCTTACCAGAGTGGGATATAGAATAGTCTCTTTGAGGAGGATGTTATGGCTACTGACCTTAGTGTCACCCATGGCTACAGTTCGGAACCTCAAGGCCCAGCAACTCATCTTCTCAAAGTATTTGGTTTTGGCTGAGAAGTCTACCTAAGTTTACATCTTGCACTCCACTATGTTGAATGTTGCTAGTGTATTCAAATACGTCTGTAGAAATCTCCTCTATCAAACATATATATTCATAAGTATAGTTCCCTCCCACACCTGTTCAACTCACATATCTGTGCATGCATCTTAAGATTTTGATTGTTATTGGAGGATGTGTAAGAAAGAGTATTTATGTCTGGAAGGAGTACAAGAGTTAAAGGAAACAGGTAAATACTTTCGTCTTCATCATTTTTCGCTTTCACTCATATTGCATAGTGCCTTCCCCTTCATATGCATCTACCCTCTAGTTAATGTGCATCTACTCTCTAGTTAATATGCATCTACCCTCTAGTTAATATGCATCTACTCTCTAGTTAATATGCATCTATCCTCTAGTTAATATGCATCTACTCTCTAGTTAATATTCATCTACCCTCTAGTTAATATGCATCTACCCTCTAGTTAGTAATTTTCCCTCCTTTTTTGCATCCTCCCCTGGTGACCATTAAGGGCTGTTTCTTTCTGTGTGAAAACCTTTTCTTGACAACTGTTACATACATTTGTCCTTTTGTGATCGAGTTATTTCACTCAGCACCAGCTGTCCTGGTGCTATGAGGTGTTTTGCAGATTCATTCTTATTCTTTGACATTGAGTGGTATTCCATTGTGTATATACACCAAAGTTTGTTTATCTATCCATCCTTGCATTGCTGGGTATTTCGGTGGTTTCCATCTCTTTTGCTATTGTGAATAATACTGCTATGAATATAGATGTGCATACATCTAAGCATGTCACTGCTCTTATTTATCTAGGCTATGTACCTAGTGATTACTAGATCATATGATATTTCTATTTCCAAGAGTTTGAGGAAGCACCGAACAATTTTACACAGTGGCTGTACCTTTTTTAAGGTCTAATCAGCAGTGCATGGGGCCCCAATCTCCCATCACCATCAACATTAACTGCTTTCTGTTTTCTTGAATTTGGCTGGGATGAGATGATATCTCATTATTTTAATTTGCCCCCATTTAATGGCTAATGATCACAGATAGTTCTTCACATGTTTGTTGGCTGCCTGAATGTCTTCTTTGGTAAACTGTCTGTTCATATTCTCTGCCCATTTAATTGGGTTATGTCTAGTTGTTGTTGAGGTGTTAACATTTCCTAAACATTTTGAAGATTAGTTGGTTGTCCAGTATGCTGTTGCCAACTCCCCACCCCACCAACCTGGCCCAGCCTATTTGTTTTCTTTACACTCTTCTGGTAAAATCTTTTGATGACCATAAATGTCTAATTTTTATGAGGTTCTAGTCATTGAGTCTGTCTTTTGCTAGTTATTGTCACTTGTGTTAATAGTGTGTTTAGAAACCCTAAATTAGTTCCTATTTTTTCATGGATGGTCTTTATAGTTTTAGATTTTACATTTAGGTCTTTGATCTATCTTGAGTTTGTTTTTGTATATGGTATGAGATATGAGCCCTATTTTATTTTACTGTAAAAGGATAACCCAATTTTGCCAGCATCATTTGTTGGAGAGACTACCTCTTCTCTATTTAATGAAGTTTAAGCATTTGTCAAAGATCAGCCTTCCATGAAGTTAAACAAGTGGCCATGTAGCAGGGAAGCAACAAAGCCTACATGGAAGAAGCACACCAGACTGTGGTGATCACAATGTGTCACCGGGATCAGTTATCAGGGATCCGAAGACCCCAAACAATCAATCATATCGATGTGAATGAGGGTGGTTGGAGTGGAGACCCAACGCCCATCTGTAGACAATTGGACATCCCCTCACAGAAGGGTCACAAGGAAGGGATGAACCAGCCAGAGTGCAGTATAACACTGAGGAAACACACAACACTCCTCTAGTTCTTTAATGCTTCCTGCCCACCACTACTATGACCCCAGTTATACATAACAAATCTGACTAGACAGGAACATGTACAGATAAGAGCTCTCAACACACAGAATCCGGGGCAGATAAACCCCCCAGGAACAGTAATGGGGGAAGGCTGAGGGAGAAGGGGGAAAAAGGGGAACCGAATGCGAGGACGGAGGATACTACCACCTGTCCTTGAAGAGGACGAACAACAGAAATGTGGGTGAAGGATGACAGCAGATGGTGTAAGATAGGAAAATAATAATTTATAATTTATCAAGGGTCCACGAGGTGGGAGGATAGGGGAGGGAGAGTAAAAAGAGGAACTGGTACTAAGGGCTCAAGTAGAAAGAAAATGTTTTAAAAATGATGATGGCAACATATGTACAAATGTGCTTGATAGAATTGATGCATGGATTGTTATAAGAGCTGTTAGAGCCCCCAATAAAATTATTTAAAAAAAAGAGAAAAAAAGAAATGGACCATGCTTGTGGAAAATGTCAATACGCCCCCAAATGATCTACGGGTAGAATGCAACCCATTCCAGATTCCAACATTATTCTTCAAAGAAAGCAAAGATCAAATTTATATGGAAAGGGGAAAGTCCTTGGATAAGCAAAGTCCTGCTAAAGAACGACAAATAGGAGACCTCATAGCACTGAACGCAAATCCTACTACACAGCCAGGTCATCAAAACAGCCTGGTAATGGTACAGCGATAGACCGTTGACCAATGGAACAGAAGAACCCAAATGTAAATTGATCCACTTATGAAGGCTGATCTTTTAAAAAATATAAATCATATTTCTGTTGTTCGTCCCGCTGGAGAGGGGGAGAGTTATAGGTCGATTATAGCTATCGGTTCCCCCTTTCTACCCCTTCGCCCCTCACCTTCCCCCTACCTTCATGGTATTGCTACTGCCACCAGTCCATTTCTTCTAAATTTCAAAATTTGTTGTAGTGTGGCTCTTCATATTTTTCGTATTCTAGTTGGTTTGTTGTGGATGTCACCGATTCTTACTCATGTTATATTTACATCTTTTACTGTTAGTTTTGGCATTTCTTTGTTGAATTTAGTAAATTTTTCAAAGAGCAAAACATGGCCTTGCTGATTATTAATGCTTTATTCATCTATTTTGGCTGCAGTCTTTTTATTTTTTTCTGCGAGGAGGGACAGAATCGGTGCATTTTATTTCCGTCACTACCGCTTTGTTCTAGGATGCTATCGTGTTTGTAATGGTTTAATCTTGCATGGTGGTGCCATGTTTTTAGGGTGGGTTGGTCCTTGCCCGAGTGCTTTTGGCTTCAGTCCCCGTTACGCCTTCGCCAATGGCCGCAGTTTCTTGGCCCTTTTGAGTCGCTTCACCTTGCTTGAGACAGCTGTGCTGCTGCGCTGCGAGGATTTTTTCCTTGAGCTCCCGTGAAGCAGTCTTTTAATTCTCCTCTGTACCTTCTTCACCTTGTTACTGCTTGGGGACTTGGGCCGACAGGATGTCTTGGTTTTCTTCTTCCCTTTTGTGGTCGGGCTCGAAGTTGGTTGCTGTGAAACTGCGTTTGGTCCATCTGGTTCCCTGGCAAGTTTACTCATGTTGAAACCATCGGGTGGTCTGCCCGTGGGGTCCTAACCACACTATATGCAACCCTCCCAGGACAGTGAGCAGCCCCACCCTTTGCTTTTGTTTGTTCATCTGGGTGCTTCCCCCACCCATTGAAGCATAAAAGCAGACATCATAAAACAGAACTTTGACATCTCCCTGGGGCCTGGGGATGTTGGAGAGACCAAGATTTCTCTGGCTGGAGAAAGTTGGTCTTCTCCCTAGAGAAGGTTCCTAACTTGACCTTCAGTCCTTTCTCATCGGTTCCATCCATGGAAAGGAGAGGGTGTGTCCTCTCCTACTTTACGCATAATCCAAGCCCATTGCTGTTGAATCCATTCCAATTCATACTGACCCTTTAAGGGCAGATAGAACCGCCCTGTCATTTCCAAGGTTGTAATCTTTATGGAAACACTGTCTCATCTTTCTCTTAGGGAGTGGCTAGTGGCTTCTACATCCTGTTCTTTTGGTGAACTTCTGAGTCACCGGGATCCTTTTTTCTTTAACCATTTAACCATGTTGTTTGGTTCTGCCAGGTCAATTATGCCTCAGAGTGGCCCGATGAACAACAGAAGGAAACACTGCCTGGTCCCGCGCCATCCTCACACTCATTTGCTGAAACATGTCAGTTGGTATTCCATCTTTTCCTGGATTCTTGTTGTTCATCAATGCCTTCAGTGCATCCTTAACTTCATCCTTGTGCATCACAGGATCTTGATTATATGCTACCTCCTGAAACGACAACATTGACCAACTTTTTTGGGGGTACAGTGACGGCATAGTCTTTCCATTTCCTTTCGATCAGTCCTGAGTGATTTAACATCTATCCATAGAATCCTTCAGTATTGTAACTTGAAGCTTGAGTATTCTCTTCAGTTCTTTCAGCTTGAGGAATACCTTCCGGTTCTCTAACTCTAGGACATTGCACATTTCATCCTAACACTTTACTTTGTCTTCTTGAGCTGCCCTTTGAAATCTATTCTGCTCTTTGACTTCCTTGCCCCTTCTATTTGTTTTATCTACTCTAGCTTCCAGATGCTTCTCTGATCTTTACTATTTCTCTCTTTCTGGTGATTGTAGGCTTGGTTTGCGGCTCCTTTTCAAATTGTTGGAACGTTGGCTTAAAGTATTCTGGGTCTTTCTTCCCTTTCGATCTACTCATGCCCTCTGAGTACGGGTCTTGCTGTGCCCCAAGGATTTTGCTGTGATGTTTTCTTTATTATTTGATTCAAGGAGTTCTTAAGTTTCACATTCTCTATTATTCAGTAGGTTTAAAGCAGAAATGATTGTTTTGACAGATTTTATTTTTCCATTGAGCTTCCCATTTTTGGTTTCTAATTTTATAGTGTGATTTGGTAAGATGCTTTGTTGTATTATGATATCTTAAAATTTATTAGGCTCGTTTTGTGGTCTAACATAGTTGGTTTCTTCTGCAAAATGTTTCATGTGCACTGGGAAATAATGCTGATTGTCCGTTTGGGTGGAAGAGTTCTGTATATGTGTATGCAGTCATTGATTGATAGCATTCATTTCTTCTGTGACTTTGCTGAATTTCTTTCTCGTAGTTCTATCCACCAAATGTGGTATACGAAAGTCTCCTACTCTCAATGTAGAGTTGATGGTGTCTCTATTCAGTTCTGCTAGCACTTGATTTCTGTATTGTGAGGGTATTTCATTGAGCACATAGCTATTTTTTATTTTATAGTGTGTGTTTGAATTGTTCTAGCATTTT